AAGAAAAAGGATAAAGTGGAATGCTTTTTATCCATTTAGTTCCGTGTTAATCCAAAGTCTATAAAACACAGCGATGCTAGATCAGGATCCCATTGCCCTTTGGCTCCCTTTTAACCGTTGTTACCAGCTTATCCTCTTCCAAACTGTCAGCTCGATTGGGAGCCGCTTGGTGTGATACGATCCTGCCTCTGGATAACTACGATAAATCCAACAAAGAATGGCGATTGGAGTGAAAAAATTTGCGGAATTTTATTTCCACATTTTGCCAAAACTATTAAAATTTATTTGATATTAAAATACGTAAAAAGGAATATTTACAACGAAATAAAAAGATAAAACGACACGTAGACACGCCCTTTTCGAATTCTTCGAAATCACAATTTTTCTCACAATTAATAATTCCCTCCGATTCAAATTAACATATTACGCTCTCGAATAAAGGATGAAGCCGCGGATGAAATCAAACTCGAAGAATTTCGAGCGCGTTGACAATCGTGGCGGATAGTTGGAAAACTGTTTCCATCAGAGAGAGAGAGAGAGAGAGGGAACTGTCGACCTGCCCCAAATATATCGTCGCAATGCTCAAGTTTCGATTGCAGTTATCCTCGTCGTCCCCCCTCCCAGAAAATTGCACCCCAAATTCGTCTTAGTTTCCATACACGAATTTCCACCCCTATTTGTCATGCTTGTATCGAGGCTACTTATTTGTACACGTCTCTCCGCATAGTAATCACGGAACGAACCGTTCCACCACCAAAACTCCACCATTCCCGGAAATGATCGATTTCTCGAAAGGTCAGCTCGTTTCGACGAGGCATTAGTCATCGGGTATATGCATACCCTCTCATCCGATGCGCATGACGAAAGTCAATTTACATTTTTTCTCTTTTTTATTTCATTTCACGAACGATTCGATCATTGAATTCCATTCACTTCACTTCAATTTCTCAATCATCTTCTGATTGACTATAATAATAGTTCGTTTCGTGATGAATTTTCAGATTCGTTCGTCTCCAAACACGTCGTATCGTAATTTCGATATATCTCTAAAAATATTTCCATTGCGGTATAATACTCGTTTCGCTCGTTTTACTCTTCGATACGAACGAATCGCCCCCTTCTTTCGTTCGCTTATGACGCTTCATTCCGCGCGAAAGCAATCTTTGCACCTAGAGAATCTGTCTGTCCAGGATACACGTTATATAGATCCGAGGCGAAAAGTTTTAAACTCGCCTTAACGCGGGAAGATGTGATCAAAGGTGATGGGAGGAGAGGGGTCGGTGGCAAACGTCTCTGCGGAACGTTTGATTGTTGGGCGGAATGGAATGGTGGCGGGATTCGATATTACCCCGTCAGAAAAGTAATTTACGGTGTCGTTCGGATTTCATCCGCGATCGTGGTCTTCGAAATCGAAACGATTCATAAAGCGAGATAAAGGTTACTCGGTTTCTCCTCGTAACACGATTTTCTTGCTTTTTCTTTTTCTTTTCTTTTTTTTTTTTTTTTGTTTCTCTTCCTTTCTCTTTTCTTTCCTGTCGTCACGACGGGGGACAACGGTTGTCACGGTTGGTTGTTTTATCAAACTCCTCCCCCCAGCCCTCTTTTATCGGAGTTTCGTTGGCAGGGCGAGGCCCAACTCTCGGGAGCGATGTAATTGGGTTTGAAAGGAAAGAGGATGGAAGTTTGAGACAGTTTCGGCTTGTAAGACAAAGAGGCAAGTTTAAAGCTTCTGCTGAAAGCAGTTTACACGCAGGCCGACCTGTTAAATAGCCTGGTCTCTCAGCCCCCTTCCCAAGATCTCCCTTTCCCCTTTGAGCGATAAACCGTTAAATTTTCACCAACTTGACAAAAGGATAAAGGGATGGTACACATAATTGGTATTCGTATCAGTTATCGAGAATGATTCGTTTCCTTATTCATCTCTCGCTTATTTTTTTCTTCATTGAATTTTAAAAAATGATCTAATACTTTGTACGTAATCTTTCAGTGATTCGTCGTCTTTTATTAAGAATATTTCTAAGATAGCATGAAAATAGTATAAAGATATCTGTACACGAATAAATAACCCACCATTCATCGTCCATTCCTACAAATCAACGAACCAAAATATACAACAAATGATTATTTCAACTATTTCTATCCATAAAGAGGAATTTGGAGAGGAAGCAAGCGATACTTTGCCTTAACAATTAATCCTTTCTATTGATCAATTATGTGTCTCAAAACTCGCAAGGATTCAATTTAATTCAGGCGGCAGAGATTTTCAACGATCGAGTCGTTCCCAATCTCGTCCATCCACCCCAAGTGGCGCGGTATCAGACCGATATTGCGTCGCGAGCTCGACAAAAATAGAGCTGTCGCTATTTCCCCCGTCGTTACCGCCCCTCCCCCCCTCCCATTATCGTAACCGTAACCGTTACTGCACCGAAATCGGGCGAGCATCGAACCAATCCCATTAATGATTCGAGCGGTTCTCGAAAGCGATACGATTTCGATCCGTCGCGTCAATCGGCGCGACGCAATTATGACAGGTGGCCGGTATTGCGTGCGGAGACAGAGAGAGAGAGAGGGGGGAAAAAAATCGGCTCGATAGGCACTTTGGCGGGCACAGATACGGCGAATTTGCCGCGTGCGAACCGTATCGCGTGTCCACGATCGACGCGGCCACTCGGTCGCCGACAGATTTATCCGGAATTCCCGTGTCGGATATCACGCGCGCCATCGAGTGACGCGGTTATCCGGACAACGGTTCTTTCCGTGGCAGGAATGGGGTGGAATTGCGAGGGGCGAAAAAAATGATTGTCGAGGTTATTTATTTTTTTATATATATATATAATTTGTTTCCTTAGTCTTGTTAGTTTACTTGAGTTAAATTAATTTCGATTATTTGATGAATTATACAGAGAATTTATATACGTAGAATAATTCTAATCACTTCGTTTCACGATTCGATTAATGTAGAGTGTTTCGATGATTTTCAAATTCCATCATCAATTCCATATCTCAACGATGCTCGAGCTCTATATAGCTTTTAAAGAGACGTTTAAGAAACAAGTTATATGGCGCAGATACAAAGAAATTGCATCGTTATCGTAGAATTTCGATACGAAAGGAGGGTACAAATTGGCAGCGAAAGCTCGACTCTTCGAAGTGGTGCTCGGCGGAGAACAGCCAATCGAGGTTGATCCACTGGCAAGCAGTGAGGGCGTAATTTCGAACTCGTTTCTGAGAAGCTTGGGAGGAAGAAACGTGAAAGTTGGCTGCGCACAATTTGGTGGGGATCGAAGAAGGGGAGGAAATTTTTTATCGTCATTTAAATATTTAAAGATTGAAGGATCATCGCGAGTGATGAATTGATATGAAACGAGTGACAAAAGTATGAATTAATTCTTCAAATGTATCTTCTCAATCATCACGAGGACAAGTATGAGAAATGTTTGTTAATATTATCAATATTATTAATATAATATTATTATATTATTATAATATTATATTATAATATAATATTATTTCTTTAATTTTTCCGTATTTTTGCCGTATTTTAATTGTTATGTTTAATTGTTTTAATTGTTCATGGACAGAGATATCCGATCGAAATCTCGCATATATAATAACGATTAATTTAAAAATCTTTAAATTAAAAATTGATTACAGATCGAAAGAGAATTGTGACGTGAAAATCATTCACGATATCATAACTGGCTGAAATAATGGAAAATCTCGAGTAAAGTGCCGAGGCAGTTCCGATAGATAGTCGCTTACTACCTAACAAGGGCAAACTTGAAACAAACGGGGGCGGGGGAAATTATATAAGCCGGTAGCCTAATATCGATTCACCGCTATTTTCGAGAATTAATAATTGCCACCTATCGATAAGTATGCGGGGGAGGGGCAACAGCTGCTAGGGCCGATATTGAATTAACAGGGCGCCCGTACGGAAACACAGGCGCAAGAATTCCGTTGGAATATTCGTGGCTTCGATCGATCATGCCAACTTTCCGCGAGAAAAGGGACCCTGGCCTTTGTGGATTCTCTCGACGAATTCGTCATCGTATCGGTGAGAAATAAGTCTGAGAGTTTCCTCTCGGACCGAGCACTCGCACCACCCCCTTCGTGGTTATTATTACGAGGCTGGAATTGATAATATCTGGAGGGAGAGAACGTTACGGCGTTGCGTGCGGTAAATAGATAAATGCACTTGACTCGAAGTGCATGAAACGGGACGGTGAAGATAGGGCGAGGCGAATCGGGAAAATGTATTACCACGGAAATAATTTGCATTTAGATCCCTCGATATTTCAAACGAATGGAGATCGCGTTTTCGCAACTCTTCTGAAAATTTCCTGCCTAGTTCCTTCCGTTATCTCGCGACTATGGAACAGACCTATCGTAAGACGATTCGATACGAATTAACGCGTAGTTTTCTTTTTCTTCTTGGATTGCTTCGTTGTTGGTGATAAAATGTAATTGATAAAGTAACAGGTTTTGTTTTTAACATGGTTGTATATAGTTGTTATAAGTACAAGTTGTTATAAGTGAATTGTAATAAAAAAGGAACGTGAAATTTTCGAACGAGGGAAATTAATTATATACGAGAATTAATAAATTTTCAGAATTAATTTTAAGTTGATAATAGAATTAACGGGAAATTCATTAGTGCACGTATAATACGTAAAGTAATTTCAGATCTTTGATTCGGTGACGTATTCGCGCGAGGTATGCAACATCGAATTAATTAAAAGTGGAATAACAAAAGACAGGGATTGTTGATTATAACAAAATCTTTATTAAGGGAATTCCGATTATTTTCAATTAATCACCTTTTCATTTCTCTCCAATTTTTTTTCCTCAAAAAAAAAAAAAATTCCTCACCAAAATTATATACGTCTGTTGAATTTCCTTCTAATAATCATTACGAGGTGGCGCTTGCACTTACATTTATACAAATTAAACGAGTTTCACGAATTTCGTAATTTAAAACGCTTGTTTCGTGGTTTCAGCGATCACTCAGGGGTCGTACATCAGATACTATACAGCCGTCTGGTACGACACCGCGGCTCTAAAGGAACATCGGAGCAGAAGTCGTCGTGACGCTTCAACTTCCGGCTATCCGGGAGACGCGACGCTGAATCTACGCCTTCACGCTCTCGACAGGTTCGTAAAACCCTCCAACCAACCTACAACCCGCTTTTGCTCTCCCCGAGCGGGGGAGAAAAAGAAATCGAGGCGGTAACGCGGTCAACAGTGGGGTGTGGAGGGGGTGGAAATAGGGGTGAGAGCTTTATCGGAGGAAAATTCTAGTTTCTCGCGGCTGTCAAAGGCGGAATAATCTATGGATGAGCGGCCATTTTAACGGGAGTGGATAACACAGAGGGGGAATATAAATTTTCATTTCGGCTCGGCGTCGACGGACAAACATTGGCCGTGATGTATAAATGATCATGGTGCGCGATGAGCTCGAACCATGATCGGGATTTTTACTAAAAAAAAAAATCCAAAGGATGTTTTGGTTAAATTTTTCCAACGTCGAGAAAAAAATTATTATCTGGAAATGCTTCCTCTTTCGATCATCGTTTGCGTTTACCGAAGAATTATCAGAGATAAATAATAATAGGTAAATTAATATCATAGATATTATTCATCGTTTGAATGATCTTTAATTTTATTTTTTATATATACGATTTATAAAGATTTCCGCAGAAAAATATGATTTGATATAGGATGTGTTGGTAAATTTGCATACCGAATGTGGGACAGAATTTTTTTTTTTTTTCTTTTTTTGAGGCTTCATTTTCGAGAAAATTATATTTGAAAACTCGACAAATTACTCGTAAAATTTGTTAATTTCCAATTCGATACGAGTGTGCAATCAGCAGAAAGTTATTTCATTTTTGAAAATATAACAAAAATTTTTCCATTCGAAAATTTTTTTTTTAAAAATTCGTTGATTACACGTAAATATATCTAATTTATATTATCGACTAACAACTTTCTCGTCCCAGAAATTCAAAAAATTATTCGAAAATTATACGTGGAGCATATATATTTTTTTCTTTACTGTCTAATTTAATATTTTTTTTCAGCTATTTTTCGATATTACTTTATAATATATATAATCACGAAAGAGAACAAAGATTTTAATTAAAAATTATTTTTCCCAAAAATTATTAAATCCAATCAAATGATAAAAGATTTATCGATTACACAATTTAAAACGTTATAAAACGTTTTAAAGAATTTTTCTTTAACGATAATTTTCTTCAATTTTACAAATTTCTAAATTTCCAGATTTCGGGATACGTTCGTGCATTGGATTTTCTTAAAAATGAAAAGAAAAGAAAATAAGAAAATATGATTTCACGTATTTTAATATAATCATCCTCGCGAAACAATTTACTCGAATTCGTTTACCTTTGTTGAAAACGAATTGAAAAGTTTCGCAATTTTCAATACACCATAATACTCACGATGATTTTCTCCTCGTACCTTCGAAATAATAATACAAAGGAAAATGTTAGCTCAGCCCGTCACGATGCAAAGAGGTAATTATATTATGCACGTGAAACCTTCTCGAGGGTGAACACAACTTTCCATACAGTACAGTTCAACCAAAGAAGTCGAATTTTCTTACCAGCCAGCCTGTTTCATTATATTTCGACCGTGCAAATTTACGCGTAATTCAACGCGTCAGCAGTAGAAATGAACATTCTAGGAGAAGTCTCTCGGCTAAATGAAATATCGAGCGAGATACTGAATTATTCAAAAAGAAGGAACGCAGTGGAGATATTTAATGAAAAAAAAAAAAAAAAAAAAAAAAAGGAAAAGAAAAAATAATTGTTCGCATTATTTATATATAATTACATTTCTTACGTATAAAAGAAATTTCAAATTTCAATAGAAACATTAGACAAATTTTTAACGTGTACTCCGAATTATTTTAATAGCTTCGACCAACGTTGTTACATTAACGCGAATCGTGATTAAATAAATTACGATGTAAGGATAAATTGTACGAATCAAACGCAAATTTAAATTATATCGATAAATTAACACCAAGTATAACGATATATTCGATTTATCTAAATCCCTGTACGTATAACAAGGGCATTCGAGATAATTGATCAGAGAAATATAAATAGCCGTATAAAAGAAAAAGAAAAAGAAAAAACTTACACGATTCACCAATTAAGGGAATTATAACATCAAGAGGCGGATAGGAACGTGGAAAATCGATACGAGATACATTATGACGAGATAATCCCTGGAACGAGTTGTATCGTAGTAATGGATGCACGATTATCCCCTTGCGCATTATCCGCATTCGCGCATACACACGTACGACGTACGATCGTCGGCCTTATGCGACGTTGACTCGACACGGTGGCCATATGCTTGGTCGGGCATCGAACACAACCACGTCAGATGCCATCGACACGTACCTCTCTAAATCTCCGCTTCATGCTCGGGAGAGGCTCCAACAACTCTCTGTTTCGCCATCACTGAAACGATTCCTCCTTCGATTCCAGCAATTTCTTCTGGAAGAGGAGAGCGGTGGATTCATTTCTTCACTCCTTCTCTTATCCTTCTCAGTTACGAAACTTGCCTATCCCTTACCTCATCAACCCTTTTCCTCTGCTTCTCCACCACCATTCGTTCCTGTTTATTCGATTTTCCCTCGAATTCCTCATCGTATCGATTTTTTCCACCCTATCTTGGCAACGAATCCGTTCTTCGAATCGCTCCTCGTTAACTTTTGGTCTGGAAAATTAATTAATCGAAAATAACAAATTTTGAATAAAATTGATATTTGAATTGCGACAATTAATTTTTTGTTTATGTAAAAATCATTTAAACATTTCCAAAATATATAATTTATTTCTCGCGTCATTTGTTTGCAAATGAATTTTATTTATTACTCGTTTCCCGTCTAAATCCAAATAAATTTTATTTCCAAGGAAGGGAAAAATTATTACGCAATTCCGTCTGGATCTGATTCGGCGAGAAATTCGTTGCCAAGCTGTCGTCGGCCGCCTCTATCCCAGACTAATTCCCTCGGGCCTCGCTTTTGACTTTTTACCACTTTCACAAGAATAGCAAGAAGTATCTGAGATTTAAAAAAAGAATCTAGAAAAAAAATATATCATAAATAATCCTTCGATGTTAGAAATCGACTTTCACACAGATTCACGCTTCGTTCTCGAATATAGAATGGAATAATCCTTCTCCGATATAGCACAGTTAGCCATGCTAGTTCAAAGTTCAACAAACCATCGAGATTAACCACCAGGGGAACATCTCTCTCTTTCCATCTTCAATCACCTCCTGCTTTAAGAAGAGAGAGCATTTTCTCCCTCTTCGAGGAGATGTTCCCCTTTCCCGATCCGACCTCGTGAAAAACCGAGGGAAATCGCGTGTCTCGCTCGTGGCGTTAAATTCCTGAGCAGTTCCACACACCCCTCCCCCTCCCCCGAGGACTCGCCCGCTTCCGTGGCATTAAATTTTCCCCGAAATACGGACGGCGGGACGCCTAGGGAAAAATAGTGGCGGTGAAATTTATAAATGCGTGTTTCGGTCACGGATAACGCGGGAGAAAGGGGAGGGGGATGGAGAGGGATTCTTTACTTTAGATTCGAGATTTGTCTTCGCTCTTCCTCTTCACTCGATTTCGAACGAAGATTCAAAAGTTGACCCGTTTGATGGTCCATAATTTAAATATCGTCCTTGGGAGGACGATATGAACACGAGGAAATCTCGCGAGGGATGATATTTCATAAGAAGTTTCGTTCGTTTTATTCGAATAAGATCGGGATCTTAGAGAGAGGTGGAGGATTGGTGGATGTTTAGAAGGGCGTGGTAGAAGGCAAAATCGAAAGTTTCCTTTCCGGTTTCGCTCTATAAAACTTGGTTTTTATTGCTTGATTCGGTTATGGAGGCCGAGCAGTTTTACGAGGGGAGAGTATCAAACTCGAGAGAAAACAACTGGAATTCTTCCGGCGTTTCGATAAAGCTAAGTAGAGGATAAATTCGAGGATGGTACGAGCTTCGTATCTCCGTTACCTGTCCTATCGATGGTAATGTATTTCCAGAGATAGTCAAACATGCATCGTTTTCCAATCAAGCAAGGGGAACATCGAACTTCGCGTAAGTGCACCTTATTATTTCTTATTTCAATTGGGCTTCAATTTTTAGAAAGATCTTTTAGGAAAAAAATATTTCTTAATGATGAGATCCATTTGAAAGTGAGAGAAACTCTCGAGAAAATTACTTTCCGCTAATGGACACTGCGTTGAAAGTGAAAGACGCTCTCGTTCCAACTCTCGTTAACAATGTCCATTCCCGAAAAATATTATCCCCTTGTAAAATTTTACTTTCAAATTTTCGATGATTCTTGTCCAGATATTATCAAAAGTTTCTAAGATATTTAACCAGATCGATTTAAATAAATAAAAACACTTTGTATAATTTTCATCTATTATAGAAACAACGTCATATATTCCACCTGATATTCCATATAATTAAGAACAAGACACAAGAATGCACACAAGATTATCAGGATTCGAGTTATTCCAAAAGGATGAAACACTCTTAACCCTACAAAGGGGTAGTTTACAGCGATTGTTATCGTTTGGACAATGGGTATCGGCGACAAGGATGGTACGGTTATTTTCGAAGAATCTCAACCCTGCCTCTCCCCCTCGAGCTAGAGATAAAGGGATGCAATTAAAATCAGCCACGTAGCCTCGTCGAAATTTCGTTTCTTTTGTCCCCTGCTTAATTGGAGTGTTCGTTAATGAGTGATAATCGTACATACTGTTGCGAGTAAACCGGCGATACGGTTCCAATTAACCTTAATACCGGATACTTATCGCGTTCGGGCCAATCGCGTCGTCTAATTGTAGAAATTTCGGACGTGGCGAACGGTGGAAGGGCACCCCGGAGAGCGTATATACCCGGAATCAATTCGAAATCGATTCCGTTGAGGTGAACAGGGTGGCTGTTCAACCCGCAACCACTGGGGAGGAGGGGGTGTGTTTCCATCCTCGGTATCATGGAGAAACAATTTCTTGCTTATTAAACCCTGTGTTTATCGAAACTACCTTTTACCACCGATAAGATATTCCATTAAGTTCCCCGTGTTTGTTCCCTTTGCGTTT